CTTTCCACATCATACTCCTCTTTGGTGTTTTCAGACTTGCGTTACCATATCCCAAGTTCATTTGAAATCACAACCAGTTGTTGACATGTTGGCAAATTGATGACAGCTTTACTCTTGTAAGTAACATGGAGGAATGCAGTAAATTCAAAATTATTACCTATGTAACATTTCTGTATTTTTAGTTTTTGATTTTTATTTTTTCATTAGGAGTTATTTCAAAGCTGAATTCGGATAGCCAGTAGAGTAACATTCCAAATACATGTCTTATTATTGCTTCTTAATTTATCCATAGGAAGCTAATATTTTATTATGATATTTCAGTTCCTGTGGGAAAGTTAAATATCGACAGAATATGTTAACAAAGCTCTAAATACTGTTTGACTGTGTAAAAGATTTCTGTTAGGGATGTTTATCTCGTTTTTCCCTTGCCATTATCTTTTTCTCTTTAAGTCTGATAATCTTTCACTTGTTTTCAGATAAGTTTTTTAGCATTTCATTGCAGAATGCAAAACATAGGTACAACTTCCATCTTTTTTTTCTTTTATAAGACACAAGTAATAATTTAGACTAAAGCTCTTTCAATAGAGAATCTTTGTAGTATAACCCTATTGAAAGGTGAAATACAACAGGGTAAAAAGAGAATATTTTCTTGCTAGAAAACATGTAGGGACTAAATGCAACAACAGAATTGGGTTTTGACCCATAAGCAAACTTACCATGTTCAAAACTTCATCTAGTCAAGTCTGGAAGATATTAGTGGGCATTACTTGCTCCCTAGTGAAGATTAAAACTAACATGCCATTATGAATCAAATATACCAAATGCAAGAAACCAGAAACTGGGAAATGCACAGGCTTCATTTTGACTGTGGATAAAGGATATTGGAAAGGGAGTTAAAAAAAAAAAAAAAAAGAAAAGAAAAAAGAAAAAAGCAAGCTTAAAAGAAGAAATTTGGAAGAAAAATTGGAAAGGAAGTTTAAAACAGAGGCTGCTCAAGAATGTTTCTGCTTTTCTCTTTCCATTAACTTACAAAATAGAGATGAAAATAATCTTAAAGGGAACTATTATTTTACCAAATGCTCTTTACAAAATCTCTGAAATCCTTACAACTCTTGTTTGTCCTTATCAAACCAACAATTCCTGAGGTTTTTTAACTATACCTAATTTTAGTACCTCAGAGAAAGACATTAAATGAGTACATACACAGATACAATGTTTCTAGAAGATCAAATCCAATTTTTGGATAATCATATCAAAGACATAGTATTATGTAATCATTTGTGTGAAATGAGATGGAAAATTGAATTGGTTATGTAGCTTAAACACTACCTTCTAAAACTCAGGTTTGCCTTATAGTTTACTAGATTATTTTAAATAAGATTTTTTAAGGAAGACCAATGATATCATTACTGTCAAACTGCTTCTATACCTTAAGTTCTCTCAAATAGTTTACTTTGTTCATCTAGCAGGCAGATTAGCCACAAATCTTATATTACTATTGTCAACCTAGAACCTTTATCTAATTTTTCATTATCTCAGCAGACTTACCGTTCACTGTGAGCTGCTTCATAAGAAAGGATTTTCTCCTGGACAAATTAATTGTGATACTGCCATTGGTTTCCTCCCATCCTGTGCAATAGTTAAATGCATTGATAAAGCAACAATTATTAACTGTATATTGTTTTTCTCCTAGCTAGCTTTTAGTATAATTAAGGCGCCTGGAAGTTTCATGAAACAGATTTTACTCATTATGCTACAATTGCTTTTGTTCTGTAATCTTATATTATATATCAACTTTTATTAGTTGGCCTATTTACTGTAAGTTCAGAGGCTGTGTCTGCACAACTTACAAATGACTAGTAAAGAAGTTCATAATAATTATTGTAAAATTTCTTCTTAAAATCCATATTTGCAGCATTATTCTAAGATGTGGAGAAGTTGTGCCAAGAATGTGAGGTTTAATCAGCATTTTTTGTGGGTGGATATAAAAAACAAAAGAATTTTGTGGGCGTAAACAGAAAAATCACATTTTTCTCTGAACAGCTGTATAATAACCACTTCTAAAAGCTAAATAGTAAACACAGAAGGAAAGGGTTTCACACTATAGAATGTAAGGCAAAATATTTCTGGCTTCCATATTGTGGGAGTTATTATAGAGCAAAAATACTAAGTAAGAACTGTCTGTATGCTTGGACAGCTGACACTTCAAGGAATAAGTTAGAAATCAGAATCATTTTCAGAGCCATGCCTGTTGCCAGCCATATATGGCTTTGGAATTAATTGAGAAGGGAATAGTACACACAAATGCTTTATGATCTACAGCCTGACATACCTATATTTTGTAAAGGTTTTTTTCATAATAAAGCCTTTGTGCCACATGTAAAAAATCAGAGTTGTATTTAAACCTTGAAATCATATTCACCTTAAAGTTGTTATATCATTCCTATGTATATGCAATGTGTAACCATAATACAGAGTTGATAGATAAAGGTAATATCTTCTTTTTTTTGACCAGTCATTATCACTGAAAAACATTGACAAACTTGTAAACATGGAAGCTTTCTTTAAATCTGAAACAGAAAAATCATATTTCAAGGGCAAAGAATGGATGAAAAAATGCTTAGAGTATCAGAAATATCACATCTTTGAGAAGAGAAAGACAACTGGTAAGACACAGTTAGAGGAGATATAAGTGAAGAGTGGAAGAAAATAAATGAGACATTCTACTACATGTGTTTGGAACAAAATAGTTGCAAATCCTGATTCAGTAGCCTAACGTGGATGTGTATCAAAGATATTTTTCCATGGAAATAGTTCGTAATTTTGAAAGAGTATTCATATAAAGAAGAGTTTCTAAATAAGGAATACATTCTAACCCTCCCCCAACACACCCCAAAGACAAAGTGTGGTAATGGTGTTTTGGTTTGTGAAACACCCCCCAGTTTTGTTTTTTTTTAAAAACCCACACATTACTAATTGCATCTCTCTTTGACACCTAAAGCTTTCCCCAGACACAAGTAGCTTTTGGTTTTGATTTTCTGAAATCAATTTTTTTGTTATTGAACATTCAATTACAAAAAAACAAATCTAACAAAATTATAAACTATAAATTAAACTTCAAAAAGAAACATGTTAACTTTTATTGTCCTATTGACAGAGAACAGGAAAAAATTTGCTTCTTCTTGTTCCTGCTTTTTGTTAATAATTTTTTGACCACCTGGTCACTTCTTACCTCAGCTTTCTTGCTGTATTGACAATTTGGCCTCTGATTTAGGCTTGTTACCAGAAGTTCGTAGTTGCTATATTGCTGTTTTCTATTCTCAGTAACTGTTGGGACAGACTTCTTTTACCATCTCACAAATATTGCCAGTAGCATGCTGAATGCCCTCAAGAAATACAAAACCCATCAAGTTAGAAATTTAAATGTCTTCTAATTCACATTTTGTTAAAATCTTCATATATGGTTGCTTGGTGTAGTTATTTTTGAACTTTCTCAGAAATTGACCCTGGGATATTCAAGGAATCATAGCATCAATCAGGTTGGAAAAGACCAGGAAGTCCAACTGTCAACCCAGCATCACCACTGTGTTCACCATTAAACCATGTCCTCACGTGCTATAACCACAAGTTTCTTGAACATGTCCAGGGCTGGAGACTCCACTACTTCCTTGGGCAGTCTGCTTCAATGCTTTACAACCTTCTCTATGAAGAAATTTTTCCTAATATCTAATCTAAACATCCCATGGAGCAACCTGAGGCCATACTTGCTTTCAAGTGTCTGTTCTAATTTTATTTTGATTTGTCATGGATGGATCCATTTCAACATGAAAGACTGAAGCAGTCAAATCAGTAGCTAAGATGTGCAAGACCAGGATTCAGATCTACTCAGAGTGAAGCACGGAGCAAAATGCATCATGGTTGCAAACAGGCACTGTCTGTCTGCTGCTTGCTGACTCTGGGATTTACCCAAGAAGTGTAAAATCTAAGTTCAGTTCTTGACTGCTTTCGATCAGACTTCCACAATTCAAGTGAGAAGGCACTTTCTGTCCTGAAATCAATGTATGGGTTAACCAGATAAATTTTATTTAGGATATTTGGAGCTTCAGCTTGGTGTATATGACAAAGCTTGTTAGTATCCATCTGTTTGGATACTACCTAATCTCATAGGAAAAATAGGGCAGCAGCTAAGCAGTGTTTTAAAGATAGAAGTGGATTCTTAAAGAGATGGATTGGTCTCCAAGTGATTTTGAGGATCATATTCTGTTCAGAAAAAGTGTATTGCTGTTGAGTCACTTAGCTGTATTCAGAGCTCTGACAGGCTATAACCAAACTTCTGACTCTCTCTGCCTAACCTGAGTGTATGTGGTACAGTGTTGATGGGTAACAAAAGGAAAAGGGAAGAAAAGATTATCACACTTTGTTTTTTAGGATTGGAGGGAGATTCCTATTAAAAATAGGTACCTGATTTCTCTACCTTTTTTTTCACAGTTGGTAAAAATGGAATTTCTTTATAATTCTGCTCCTGACATTAATAGGAAATAAATTAGGCCAATATTCTAGAAAGTTGAAAATTCTGTACAAATATTGATATTTGTGCTGTGCTGGATATTTGTTGCTTACAGGATTCTTTCTTGCTAGTTGTTTTGAGTGTCCAAATGAAGATATAAGATTTTTCTGAAATAGAGTATAGTTCCTAACGTGATTGGTTTGATTCCCATGGGTAACTTGCAAAGTAAGGTACAGAATCTGGTATTGAATTATCAAGAAGTGAAAATATATGTATATTAATTTTTGTTCTTTCCCTTAGGTCTAATATATCTGTATTTTAATATCTGGTCATAAACCATATTTGAGACTCAATGATATTTTGCAGTGATAAAAAATGAGTTATTATTTACTAAACATGCCTGTGTAGAAGGCATGAATTATCTGTTGACCTGATCATATAATATTAGTACTGAAAAAGTGCATTTCTTTGTTTGTTTATTTTGTATTTCCAGGTAGAGATTGAAAATCTGGACTATCATTACTTTCTGCCTTTGTTCTTTGATGGGCTTTGTGAAACAAAATTTCCATATGAGTTTTTTGCTCGTCAAGGATGCCATGACATGCTGGAACATGGTGGAAACAAGATTCTCCCTGTCGTTCCTCAGCTCATTATCCCAATAAAAAGTAGGTGAACATGTAGGACAAAAAAAATCCCTGAAATTGTATTTATGTGGTGTAGATTTTTGAAAAACTGCTAATTAAGCTATAAGACTTATATAAGCCTGTATATTTCATGAAGGTTATTGCAAATGTGAGTAGATTTTAAGATATAAGGCCAGAAGGCTTATGCCTTCAATCAGTTACTGCCCACGATACATGCAGTAATCCAGAAGAATAGGCTGTCTGGTTAGTGGGTTTCTTCATTACAGGTGGCTCCTGGTCTTTGGAGATGTGATGTTTTCTTAGCTGATTTTGTATAGTTATGATGTAAATCCATTACTGTATAGACCAGTTCATCTAAAGTGACAGGAGAAATTAACAGATGGCATTTTAAAAATAATAATTTTGAAGGTTTTATATATTCAAACATATTTTTGTAGAATTATGTGAAAGGTAGTAAATTATTTTAATACCACTGAAATTCGAGGTATAGTACCACTAAAACTTTATTTTTTGAAGCACCTGGTCTTTCATATATATTGTTTTGCCCTCTCCTGTTTCTTTATATCAGTGCCTTAAAGAGATATTATTCTGAACTATCATCCTTCTTTAGTTAGATATTGTGATTCTTAAATCTGCACGCTACACCTATACAAATAGATGCTCGTATTTGTTAAACTTGGCTTCTGTTTTATCGTTAATCATTAATGATATCATTGCTGTGTGTGTCCTGTTTTTCTGAGAGGGTTCAGCATCCATTCTAACACAGAGCAAAGCTCGGTATTTGTGATACCAAATGAATAGAGCCAAGTACAGTTTTGAAAAAGAGGAAGTGAATGCAGTTTGGAGCCTGATAATACGGAAATAATAGTGTTGGAAGGGTCAGAATTGTGGGGGTTTTAACTCAATTTTTTCTCAATTTAAAAAAGATTCATTATAGATGTCATTATCTCTATGTTACTGTAGGTTTTGAAAATGTCAAAAGGAAGATATACAGAATGGTTACTTTGTGACACTTGAGAAAGCTTAAGAAAACAATGTTACTGGGTTTTATCTCTGAAAGGGAAATGTAAAGAGAAGAATCATCATTTCTTTAGAACTGTGTTTTCAACATCACACAAATATATTTATAGGAGTATCATTTTTTTTGAAAGTTGAAATAATTTCTTCAGAAAAGACTGCAAGTTTATGACAGCAACTCTCCATTAGGATTTAAAAGTCTTGCTGAGATGAGAATCTAACTTAGAAATAGTTACCTGGAAGTTTTAGCTGTTACACAGCATTTAGCATTAGAAAGAGACTGCTAGGTAAGGCTATTTGTATGGATTTGATATACAGTCTTTTAAATCAAGTCATAATTTATGGTGCTGGAACACATTCAAGAATCGACTAGCTAAATTTAATTGTTGGTTCTTCTTTATTTTATTCTTAAGTGCTTATTTTTAAATTTTAAAAAGGCTTCTGTATCAACTTTAATGTATGAAGAGTATAAGTATTATCAATGATAAAGGTTTCTTCCTAATTAAAGCCATATTAATATTAAAAAAACCCCACCAATTCCAAGAATCTGAAATCTGCATACTTTTAAGGGTTTTTAAAGTTGCTATGACTGTGTAATATAGCAGTGTAGTCATAGTTATGCATTTCTGTGACTCAGCTGCATCCACAATAAACTCAGATATGTTTTACACAGATTACTGTCTCTAAAGTGTCCCACTGGGTGAGTTATGTCTGATTAACCAGTCTTCTTGTAGACCGTATTTCTACTGTGAAAGAGTGAATCAATTTGTTGTTGGGCAAGGTAATATATATGATGAAGGAGGCAAGGTTAAAAGAAAGACAGAAAAACAACTTTAAAGACAGAATGCTTTTAAAAGCAGTTTTCTCTCCTGCATGTTCATCAAAGGAAAATATTAGTAAAGAGCTGTAAACATTTCAAAATAAATGTTAGAATTCTGTATTGTATGTTAATGACTTAAGGATAAATCTTGCTTACGTTTCATACATTTTGAACACTACATCATTAGAGATAAAAATTATATTATTTAATCAATCTGTGTGTTATTGTAAGCCCAAATTCTTTCAACAAATTTTTCTTTTGGTTATGGAAACAGGTAGTGACCAAAAAAACCCCATATACTTGAAATTAACAGGCCTGGTTTCTTTTCTAAAATACCTGAAATATTAATAAAATAATAAAGAAGAGTGATATTTAGTTGAAAAATATTTGCTTCTTTTTGTTTTGTTTTTGACACACACTCTATTTTATTGGAAATTCAGAGGAAGAAAAAAGCCCTCAGGTTGGAGGCATTAGTTTTCAAAGAGAAAAATATTCAAAATATATTTTTAGGTCTCAAAATAAAAATTCAGAATATATTGTACCTTGCACTGGAAAACCTATAAAATAGTTTATAAATAGAGTCATTGCATGACATAAAATGGAGGAAAAACAACTTACCTGTATTTGTCAAACTTTTAAGGAATCCAACTTAAAATAAAATGCAAAATCAGAAAATGGAATTAATTAAGGTGTAAGGCTTTTTACTCCCTTTCACAGAAGATATAGGCAAATCCATTTTCTGAGTTATTTAAACCTGAGCAAAGTTTCATCAACTGAAATATATAGCCAATAGCAAAGTTCTTTGGAACAGTATCATGAAAGTTCTGATGCACAACACGCAGCCAAGCATCTTCTTTGCCAGAAACATCCATGTTGTTCCTTTCATATTGCAGACAGGAAAAAAGGCAGAAGCAGGAGGCTAATTTTGCCCCATATCATAAACTGGATTTGTGGCAGAGAACCTCTGGGGTGGCAAGTGAAGATGCTTGTAGGTTATGTGAGAATTCTTTTATTTTTAGGGAGCAGAGGGATCTGTCTAGCCTCATCATGTCTTTCATTAATGTACTGATTTATTTTAAAATTCACGTGTAGCCTAACATTAACCAACCAAGAATAGCTAATTCTAATGCTTATTTTACCATGTGCTTGTCAATGGAATACTCTTTAAATTCTCTGCTCCTTATGGGAAAGTTAAATTAATTTTGATACTCATTTGGGGAGAAAATTATTGCTTTTAATATTACATTTGCCATAACAAATACCAAATCAGAAAAGCTGTAAGTCCTTTCTCTTGTTTTTGTCTTCTACAACTCTCAGATTCCTGACCGCAAAGTTCCCCAGCATTCTCTGCATGAAACACATGAGCAGAAATAAATACTGAGAGGGCCAGAAGTTTCTACACCTTTGTCTAATATTTCTATAAGTAACATCAGGGACATGCAACACACTGTGTAGAAGCACCTCCTCTCCTTTCAGAGGCAGCGAGCATCGCTACCATTCACATTTGCTTTGCTGGCAGCGCGGTTGTAGGAGTTTTCAACCCCTTCATGCACAAAGTCACTAATTGTTCCAGCTCCCACACTCTGACTTTTGCTAATGCATTTTTTTGTGGAGCAGCTCAGTGAATCTCACAGCTAGATGTATCAATTAAAAGGAAAAAAAAAAAAATCCAAATCTGAAATAAACCCAAAAGATTTTCAGAGTGGCGTTGCTTTGAAACTCAGATCATTTCAATGGTCTAGTTTATAAATGCACTATCACAAATGAGGTAATAGTACACAGCAGGACAGAAGCTGGAGTGAATGAGTAGAAATGATCAATAGGAACATCTTGAAAAAGATTTGCTAAAGAAGTAAATAATGTGAAATTACGCACTTAAGCATCTTGAATCACCCATTTGCCAGAATCTTTTCTGTTCTACAGTGTGAATCCTAAAAATGGATGTGTAGGCAATCTGAATTTAGGCGCAAAAGCCAATAAAGCTCACATCTCTGAACTTAAATTGTAACTTAGATGGAAGTATTGTTTGCATTCAGCAAACCGGCTCTTCTGATTGAGTCCAAAAAAGAAAAATTTCCATCCTAAGGAACACTCAAGTTTCACTTTTTGAGGCTTCTTCCATGCTGTTAAAAATCGCTTCTGTGACACTGTAGATCAAGGATACCTTAAACTTTTTTTAAAATATTTCATTACGGAAAATGGATTTTTTGTGAGTCAGACCTAGAGAAATGAACAGAGCATTCTTCCCTCAGTGTCACCTACAGAGTCCTTTTTAATTTTTAATAAATTTCTAAATTAAACTGATTTCTGTTTTCTATTTGCATTTAAAATGTGGGTTCTTGTTGTCTTGGACAACAGTGTAGTTAATTCCTCTTTAATGTCAAATCAGTGTCACTGTTGCATTTAGATGAGTAAAGTTGAATGTGTTGCTAGCAGTTGTTCTAAGCCCAGTTATATTTATATTTCTTCTCATATATCTTCACTATATTTAAGACTATTTAATGACTACTAAATACTCTTCCTTTCATTCTGCTGATTTTTATGGAATAAATGTGGTTTTCTGCTCTGTAGTCTTTTTCTTGCTGTAAATCATGTAAGTTGAATTCTGTCATCTAAAGAAAGTAAACTGAACCTTTAATGGAATTGTCATCTCCTTTCTGACTGACTGTTGCTCTTGAGAACCAGTTCTGCTTGTTAACATCACAGACTGAAAAATAACTTTGCTTTATAAGACTCAAAATGCTTTTAAAGAAAGCAAGGGTCTCTGACTTTTTTTTTTAATTTTCTTGGTACTCAAATACTGCCCTGTAGGTTTCATCAACCAGTACAAGTGATTGTAATTAGGTTTATGTTACATTCTTCTGCTCAAAACTGGTCATTTCAGATATTTTCAAACAGTATGGAGACTAGATTTTTAATTACTCCCATTTACTCCTGTCAATGAGGAAAAGCTGTGTTTCTCATTCCATCGAGATAAATCTCACCCATGTTTGCAAAGTGAAATATGCAATTAACATCTCTGACTTTTGGAGTTGGAGTTAGAGCTATTCTCTCCTGAGTTTATTAATTTATTAACATTTAGAATTCATTAGTAATGAATTTCATCTGCAATTTTCTCACCCCATTTAGAAGGACTGTAAAATCCTTCTGCAGTTTCTCAGAGTAAACTCTTATCTTTGGCATC